TTTTAAATCATTTCTGCCTTCTTAGGCTTTCAACTTTTACGTAGCATTTAATTTTTAATCATACTTTTGAGCTCTGCTAACTATTCCTTTCTTACCATATGTTTGCTTCGCTTCATGACAAATATATAACCGATATATAATTAGTTCATATATAAATAGAACTGATATATAATTAGTTCATATATAAATAGAACTGATATATAATTAGTTCATATATAAATAGAACTGATATATAATTAGTTCATATTCCTTAATGGCGATATCTTTCATATATCATTACGATCATCTTTATTAAAAAACATAATTATCTTCGTTTTCAATCTTAACTAAGCCTTTTATTATGTATTTTAACTACAAAATTTCTTAACTTGAGCTCATATAATACAGCATAGTCGATGAGAATTGAAGCATTCCTGTATCTGCTTTCATCACTGAATAATTAGCACTTCTTATTAATAAATAGGAGATCCTTGTTTCGAATACTGGCTAGAGCACTGCTGGTTTTCATGTTTCCCAATGCAAAATATCTAATGATTTCAGTAGTGATGCCAGAATTTTAAAATGGTGAAAGGTAATTCATCAGCATCTTGTTTTGGTTTGACTGAGTCTCGTGCCTCTGTGCAGTCAATTTTTAAATGAGAGAGAATGCATGAAATTATTTCTTTTACACTTCTTAACTAGCACAGTGAAATGGTCAGACCGTATACAGTAGTGGCCAAAATTGTGGACATTTTCGGAAATTTTTATGTTTCTGAAATTTGTATGCTTATAGAAAATGTTACGTTTCGCAAAATGCAAATTGTATATATCAGTTTAAAGAGAATTTATGACTGAATTCAATACAAAACACAAAATTCATTTATTTGCAATACAAAAAAAAATATATATGTACTTTAATATAAGTAAAAAACACAGTTATGAAGTAGTTTGTAATGTCTAGCTTTCCTGGCCAATCACTGTTCTTGTTCTGAGAACCAATCAAATGTTAGTAACTGCCAGTAGAAGCTGACATCATGTTTACACTTGAAACAATTCATTATTTTGCTTTGTTCTGTAGAAGGAGGACCTGTTTCTTATACACTGCAATTACAAGTAGGAATTTTTGTAAAAATTTTTAATATTTAGTCAAGAAGCAATGACATCAAATAAAAGAGTATATTGGACACCTAGAAAGAGATGTAATATTATTGTGTTACGAGAAAGTTGTCTTTCCTATACTGAAATTGCAAGACAGGTGGGGGGTTCAGTGACTACATCTGGAGTCCCAAAGTTTTGTTTATGATATCAGGAGACAAATTCAATAAAAAACAAAGAAGGAAAAGACCGAAAAAGGTGCACCACATCTATTGATGACAGAAGAAAAAAACGACTATGTCTCCAAGATAGAAAAATGTCATCAGCGGCCATCAGAAGTGATCTGAATGATGCTGGTGTTTCTGTCAGTTCAAGAACAATCAGAAGAAGATTAACAGATGTTGGACTGAGAGGTAGAATTCCACAAAAAAAAAGCCTTATCTTAATTTTCAGAAAAGAAAAAAAAAAAAAAAAAGACTACAGTGGGCACAGGAACACATTAATTAAACAGAAGTCAGTGGTCACAAGTTATATGGAGTGATGAAACTAAAATATCGTTATTCGGTAGTGATGGGCGAAAATTTGTAAGACGTAGAATAAGAGAAGAGCTACATCCTGATTGCATTCAAGCAACTGTGAAGAACTCAGTTAGTACTATGATTTGATCATGCATATCAACAGATGTTATTGGTCGCCTTCATGTCATCGATGGGACACTGAATGCCAGAAAATACATTGACACTATTCTAGAACCAAAACTTCTACCTTCCATCAGAGATCTCTTTCCCAACAATACTTCGTTTATTTTTCAGCAGGATTCTGCTCCTTGCCACACGGCCAAAATATCGAAAGAGTGGTTTCGTACAAAGAGCATTAAATTGTTGTCATGGCCAGGAAAACAGTCCTGACCTCAAACCTACCGAAAATTTGTGGCACCGTTTGAAAACTCTTGTCCGAATGAGGCGCCCATCAAATAAAAGGGAACTAATTGAGGCTATAATTGTTTCCTGGTATCATGTAATAACGAAAAAAAGAGCTTAAAACTCTTGTCAGCTCAATGAAACGTCGATGTGAAGCTGTAATCAAAAAGAAAGGGTACCTATTAAGTACTGGTAACTCACTGCAATCATCACTATCTAATTACTCGATAGTAATTCTTTACAGCGGGCCAAGGAAGGAAGAAGATAGCGTGACGTAATGACATCATAACCGTGAAACTGAAGAACCGATATTTCATTTTTAGTTTTATACATATATATATAGTGCGATGCATTTAAAATCTAAAAATCATAGGCATGAAATCACTCAAATTGAGTGATTTTCGAAAAATTACCAAAAGATCAGAAATTGTGTGTCAAATTTCATACAAATTGTGTTTAAAAGAGGTTGTTTCACTCTATTCAATGGTGCAAACATTTAATTTCTGAAATCTTTAGTATGTTTGCCAAACGAAGTTCATGTATCAAAAGTCATATTAACTTTAAAAAATTTCGCCACAATGCATTGTCATCCACAACCACTTTGTGCACAAAATTCGAACTCTGTAGTTTATCAAAAAGTAGATTAAAATCGATGATAGTCGCCAGATTTGGCGACTATTTGGCGACATTCTGTTCCGGCCTCTGTATCACAGTAATGCTTATTGAAACTGAATAAAAGTAATTGGCCACTATGTTAGCTATAACCGTAATTCCACCCTCGTATTGCTTTCCAATAATTTCGAGAAACAGAAAGTACAAGAAATATCTCGCGTACGGTTGAAAACTATTTAAAGTCGAAGAGAGAGCATCTGCTCTCAGTTACTTAGTTATTGTTGCGATTTGTGAGTTCCGCTTGAACTGAGATATTCGAGGTAGCTTTCTTATTAGATGTGCTTTTTATTATTTTCTATTTAACTTTTTTTTAGTAATTCGAAGCGTAACTACTGATTGTACTGTGGATACTTTGACACCTGTACGAGTATTTCTGCAGAGAATTCCAACACTTTATTTTGATAAAAATAAGTTTTATTAACCTAATATAGGGCCTGTGCATTTAATCTATTACGAACCCAAATGCACGCAACCCATATCATCACGTTATTACGAGTATATATAACGTAGTACTTTTTCTTTTTAATGTACAATGCGCAAAAAAGGGGGGACAGTTCTATATCTCCCATTCTATTGGGCCAATTGACGAAATTCAAATTGCGTTTTCAATGTCTCTAAAGCGCGACTTCGGATATGTATTAGATTTATATATAGCATTGTTGTAACACAAGTATTATAGTAAAATCGGACTTTTTCTGAAATAACATGCCAATTTTTTTCCATATTTCGATTCTACGACTCAAGTTATGCCATACTGGCAAATTTTGTAAAAATCGCACAAGCAGTTTTTAAAAAATTAGCTCACAAAATTTTAGCACCTCCATGTTAAATGAATTTGATATATATTTATTAATATCTCTATTTTTATTAAACTTACTTGATTCTTCCTTTCATATTTCGAAATTTAGATACATTTCAAACAAAATCCGAGCATTTTTTATGATTTATTTTTTTAATTTGTATTTTAAAATGATTTTTATAAATTTTTCGAAAAACATTTTTGTATTATGACCTATCAAATGTTTGCCATCATCTTAAAGCAGATGGATGTCTAAGCATACCTGGAAAAAAATGAGATTTTTTTATTCAAAATTTCATAAGATATACGTGAATTAACATTTTCGCCCGTTCTGAAACTTAGCCTATTTCTTATAAGCGATAATAATGTAACGTGGTTTTCGCACCTTGTTAAAATTATTTGAAAGTATGGACGATGACATTTTTTCCCGCTTATGCTCAAAGAAAAAGGCCAAGGAAAATAGGTTGCTATAAATGAAGAATTTCGCAAAGTGACTTATTTGACTTATTCTCGGCGTAAGCGGCCCAGCAGCGGCCAAGCGATAACGTCGCTGAACACTGGTAGTTCGGGTCGAGGTTCGAATTCCGCGAACGGGCTGGCTGCATGGGCGTTTTCGTGGTTTTCCCCATATGTAACGTGTTTCCCTTAGAAATTCCTCCGCGAAGGCATCCCTCCCTTAAGGCAGATAGTCATCGAGTGCTTTGCCCGTAATCTAATAAAACCAAACCCCACCAATCTTGGAGCAAGCTAAAAAATTCCCCAAGATAAATTTTTAAATTTCATAAACGCCTCACCAAAAATTACAAATTTTAGTATCTAGGCATAATTTCAGCCGTAGAATCGAAATATGGATAAAATTGGTGTGTTATTTGAGAAAAAGTTCGATTTTGTGTCAAAATACTTATGTTAGAATAATGCTATATATAAATCTAATATATATCCTAAATGATGAAAACCACAATATGAATTTCACCAATCGGCCCGGTAAAAGGGGAGATATAGAGATATAGTACTGACCTTTTTTTTTGGGGGGGGTGTACCTTAGAGGCATTTATTATTTCATTCCACTTGTTTTTCATTTAGATTATGAAATCCTCAACAGCAGCACGGAGAAATTAAAAAAAAATCGTTGAAAATATTTCCAATTCATTATTCCAGTCTAATTCCTAGTACATTATAATAATTTATGTTTATAATCTATCATTTATTAACATACATTGTTTATTCTATACATTGTTCTGTGGATTAAAAATTAAAAACTGCTATACTCGAGTAGTAAATGTTTCTCTTTATTATAGATTTTCTGTTAAAATTCTAAGAAAAATATTAGACTTCAGAATATGTAAGACTCGTGAGATAATGGAGGAATCTGGGGTCATTTAAACCTGTTTAATGTTCATTCTACTTGTGTTCCAAATGAGAATGCAAAAACATAAATTCTTCTAAATGCAGCAAGTAAATGTTTGTAACTTTATTAATTGTTTTTAAATTTTCATTAGAGTTACAATTTACCAGTTTCTTTTACTTTATTTCAGTGAATCCTAGCACTAAGCCACAGATAACTGGTAACAAACCACATTACGGAATAGGTGAATTGGTCAATGTAACTTGCATATCTGCACCATCCAGACCTGCAGCAGTTCTCAAGTGGTTCATAAATGGTCTTGAAGTAAGTCCTTTATGAATAAATATTATGACGATAGTAAGCAGTAAATTAATCTTGTTTTTGTACGCAGATATTTAGATAAGAGGTAATGATAATTCTTCTGGTCTTGAAAATTCATTTATTACATTTCGTCCTAACTTCGAATTCAAATGAATTTTGGTAACTTTTAGGCTAAGCATGGGAAGACATGTTGTTGATAGTGATTGGTTCTGGTAACCTGGAAAGTTTTACCAAATGTATTAAATAACCAGACGAAAAAAATTTACAATTGAGGTTTAGAAAGGAAAGGAATCATGTGCCTCTTTCGGATCTCAACTGTTCTAACTTACGTATCCCACAAAATGGCCCTTTTATTCGCATAGATTTGCTTTCCATTATTCTGATGACATAGATTTATATTTTACTGTTTACTGTGACGAGATGCAGCCAAAGCTCGTTTTATTGTGCTTGGATTTATTGCCTTGCCCACAAACTGTGTATAAATCGAAGGCTTTTGGTATTTGCTTTATAGTTGTAAACAACATTAAACCAGTTGACCAACGTCATGCTTTAAACCACACTTAAAATTTTCGTATCTGTGCGTTTCTTTTGGGTAATTATCATAAGATATCAGACATTTTAATTATTGTTACACTGAACTTAACTTAAATAAAATTCAATTAAAAAGGTTTTTATACAATAAGCTTTTATAATGATACATTTATCATGATACATTTAAAACGATAACGCATGATTCATTTGATAACGCAAATAAATTCAGGGAAAACTTTAAAAGAGAATGATTTGGCTTGGGGAGTTTAAATAACATTTTTCGTTATTTAAACTCCCCAAGCTTTTTCCAATAAACGATAAAATATTTTTCTCCTTTTAGAGCTTTAATTATTTTATCCGTTTTAAATAACATCATCTAAGACAAAAACCTTTTTTAATTGCATTTTATTTTCGGTATTTCAGTCTCAATTACGCGATATCAATGATGAAACGTTTAGTCATTAATAAAATGCAAGTAATAAATTATAAGAAAATTATGAAATAAAGAAAAGTAACTTAGCGTCACTTAAAGAAATGAGAAACTCTTTGAATGTTCAGTTTCGGAAATTGAACGTATAGTAACGTGCAAAATTTTAAGACTACTAGCCGTTTTCCTGTATTTTAGCAAATTGCACCATTTTCGCTGGTGATTGCGTTATCTCATGCGTTGATTGCATCAAACGCTTTCTACTGCTATAAAAATAACGTGGTCTCGTTTATCAGTAGTTCGTTATTGCATTTTGGGACATAGTGCTGTTGTATAATTCTTGTAACGGGTAAAACCCCTTCACTTACTGTTGAAAACGGGCAAAAGTAGCGGCCCTGCAAGATGTTGGTTTTTCTGAACAAAAAATAAGTTTGAAGGTAAATGTCAGCAAGACAGGCATGCATCAAGCTACCAGTAAATTCAAAATTTCGGATAATTATACGAAGCTTAAGAGAAGCGGTCGTGCAAGAAAAACTTGTTGTATGTGATGATCGTGTGATAAGAAGGATGATCACTCGATGCCCAACAACCTCCTGCAATAAAACTGAGCTTCTCTGCCTGCAAAGTTACAAACGTCATTTCGAGTATTATTTCAAAATGTTTGACTAAAGATTATGGTTTATTTTCCTTTAAACCTGCAAGAAAACCTCGACTTACACAAAGTATGAAAGAGGAAGGACTGACTTTGGCCAGAAAATATCAGAATTGGACAGAGCAACAGTGGAGTACAGTGTTATTTTTCGATGAGTCAAGTGTGCAGCAATTTTCTGCACGTGCTAAATGTATTCGCCTCCCATTGTTCAATTTTCATGCATGATGGGTTTCCGTGTCACAGGGCAAGGAATATTAAGGACTATCTGAGAGCTACTCAAATCCAAGTGTTTGGCCAGGTAGCAGCCCAGATTTGAATCCCATAAATAATATGTGGTGTATTGTGAAAAATAAAGCCGCGGAGAAGCTACCATCCAGTGCTACAGAACTTGTTGAAGCAACAAAGCATGTGTGGTGTAAAGAGATTTCTCAAGCTTACTGCCAGTCTCTCAGTCTCTTGTTTAGAAGGATTGCAGCAGTGATTAAAAAATAAAGGAGGTTCGACAAAATACTGACTATACTGACCTTGTAAGTCTATTTTTCCATTTATAACATATGTGTATGTTGCGAAATTCCAATAAATCTGATTTTCCCATGTGTGGTCTTAAACGTTTGCACACGACTGTAATATTAATTATATAATAAAATTTAAAATGAAAAAAACGAATCATTAAGTGCGCCAAAAGCATTTATTTTTCTGAAAAAAAAAAACGCTTTTTCTTCTTTCTGTTTCAGTCTGCAATACATTTTTAAAAACATATAAAAATTGGATCTATTAATATTTTTTTATCCTTCTTATTTTAAAAAAGGGCGGAAAGTTTGTTTTATTAACTATGATAATTTCACATTATATTTGATAAATTTTTAGATGTTGAGATTTTAAAACCGTCAATGTCGTTTAGTCTAAAACATTAAATTTTAAAATAACAAATGTCGTTTAGTCTAAAACATTAAATTTTAAAATAACAAATGTCGTTTAGTCTAAAACATTAAATTTTAAAATAACAAATGTCGTTTAGTCTAAAACACTGAGCGATTTTCTAAACCTCAGAAATTAAATTAAAAATTTTTCATATATGTTTCACTGAAGAGAACTTTTCCCTTCTATTCAACGCTGCAAGTAGTAAAATTTTGATTTGTTTAGTTTGTTCGTTAAACAATGATGTGCAATATGGAATGATGATGATGAAGTGCAATATGGGAGGGGATGATGATGTGCAATATGTGCTCTATGGGAATCGTTAACCATTAACTAAAAATATCTAAATCGAATTTTGAAAAAGTCGCATCACCACATTGTATTGTCATCGACAAGTAGTATGTATGCAGAATATGAACTCGATAGATTATTATATAGGTTAAATATCAATGACAAAATTTCACTCACAGTAAACCATTATGAGTAAACTTAATAAAAGCTTATAAAAATAAGCATAAACCTCAACGCTGTGCTTATCATTTATGTCTCAAGAATGGTTTATTTATCTTTGTGTTCAGCTTAGAATTTTTTTTTTTTTTTTTTTTTTCATTTTTAAGTAACGCGAATATAAATGCATTATATTTAATAAACAGTCAGTCCATTCTCGTAATATATCTGAAATTATTTTATTTTGTTCTAACTTTCTAATATCCTTTTACTTCCTGCTATATTAAAACTAAAATTATTAAATATTTTACAGTTGCTCCCAATAACTGGTAGGGGTTCGTGGCTTTCATTTTAAGGTATCAAGACCTAACAAATTAAGCTAAAAGAGGACATGTATTATTTCACTATTTCATGAAGTCCATTGTTTTAATAAAGGAAAGAATAAACAAAGCCAAAGTCTAAATTTACTTTTAAAGAAATTGAAAAATGCACCAAAAATTATGTTTATTACACAATATTTTGCAATTTATTATGCAGTATTACGTTCGCAAAATGTTGATTGTATTATTTACGAAGGTTTAAGTGCATATAATACATGTTTTTCTGCCTTTAATATTAAGAGCATACATCCTGTATTAAGAAAATAAGTGCAGTATCAGGAGTATAATTGGATATATTTACTGACGGTCGGGTTATGACAATGAAATTGGTGCAGCATATGTGGTTTACTTGTTTGTTACAGAAATAGGCTATAGCAAAATTAGACATGAACCTTACAATTCGGCTTGAAGCCGAATTGGCCATATTTGCTCGTTATCATAAATGGATTTATGAAACCCTGACTGTAAAAATATATATTGAAATATATACAGACTTCATCTGGTTTGAAAAATCTCCTTGGGAAAGTTGAAAAAGTACATGAAGTGAAAGTGAACTGGGTGAAAGCCCATATTGGTGTTATGGGCAATGAGAAGCGCGACATACTGGCCAAAGAGGATGCTATGGGTCAAAGCCAGGGATACCTTCGATATTAAGGCATCAAATAGAATTATTATTGATAAAATAAAGGATTTCTATCATGATTGCTGGGAAGAGAAATGGAACGTCTCGGGAAAAAGGAAAGTATATTTTGTTGAGCTTCAAAGTTTCTAAGAATATGTGATATTGATTACAATCCAAATAATTACTGGACGCAGGCATTTCCCGGAGCACCTGAAAAGATTTAATTTTCAAAATAATAGTCTTTGTAGTTTTTGAAGTGCTGAAGGCAATGCGCGACATTTCGTCGAAGACTGAGTATTATTGTGACATGTTAGGGAAAAACATGGTAACATAAATGAATTCTCTTTGCATAGGAAACAGTTTAGATTTGCAAAGAATTTGGCGAAATTTCTAGATGGCAAAAGTATAAAATTGGTAATTTTGGTTTGATTTTTTTAACTGTATTTTTGTTTGTGTCGCTGTTTGTGTGGCTATGTTGAGTGTACTACATTATCATGAGACCAATCATTATTGGCCAGGAGGATTGCAGCACAGTCATATATTACATTACACTACAATATTCCGCAAGTAATAAATTATATATAATTAATAATTTAATCACTGTATTTTATGGCATAAGGGTGAAATTATTAACATTAATATGGTATAACTAAAGTTACTGAGCTTAACACTAATGTATTAACTGAATGAATAATATGTACTAATCCTTCTTATACTTTTCAATATGCCTTGTAAGTAGCAACTAGGAAGGTAATGAGCAATCTGTTGCATTAAAATGTTTTACAACAAATAGCTAATTTACGAAACCTGTTGGAGAAAATTACCATTATATATAGTAATATAAAATTAATAATATAATACATAATTAATTTCGACATAAAACTAATATATATAATAATATAAAATAAACTTTCATTCTGGAATTAAAATAAATTGTGGAATATAAAATTAATTTTTAAATCTTAACAAACCTTTCCTTTTTTGTCTCTCACTAGGCTAGTAATGACCAAATAAGAAGATACCAGCCAAAGGAATCTCCAGTGGGGCTGTATACCTCCATACTATTGCTTAGGTTCTATGCCAAACACGAGCATTTCTATGAAGGCAAAATGAAAATACAGTGCGAAGCCATCATTTCGCAAGCTCATACACTTAGGAGCGAAGAAATTACCATCTCTAATAATACTACAAAAGCAGCCACGGCATCTAATGCAGGATTCGGTGAGTAAATTCAAAGTTTCTCCATAACGTATTTGCTTTTAGTGACCGTAAGATATCAAAAGAAATTTCAAATTATGCTTATTTAGGAAAACGTTAAAGCTTTCATCACTGTATTCAACACTTCATTGACCAGGTAAATTTTTAAAATCCCCTATCCAATATTGTAAATAATTATCTCCTTCCTCTCTAGATAGGAAGTGGAAGATTCGTGGTTTGAATCTCAGCGAGAACAGAGTTAATTTTCACGTTTCCTGTTCTGAAAAAGTTAGTATTCTGTACAGTGATGGTTAAAAGAAGAATGTAGACGGTGATAACCCATAACAACTTAGATTTCGTCCATTAAGTCTCGTGCCGATTTCCAGTCACTTCTAAGTGGGTTTCTCTCAACTGAAGAAGAATTATAATATTCTTACTTTTTATATGCCCTCGAGCTAACATTTATAAGATTCGTAATTGGAATTCTGGAGGAGGTGCGGTTGAATTTTAATTTTCCTACTTTGAAAAATGTAATGACATCTATACTATGACGACGGTCTTCCACTCGCTGCTAAAAGAACCTTTTTATTTATAGAGTTTGACATTCTTTAGAAGGATAAACTCTTAACAAACGTAGAGCGAATTATAGGTATGTCTGAAATTAACTGAAAAGTCTTGGAAAGGTTTCAAAATAACATTTTTATTGTAGAGTCATTAGGTTAATTGGAAGCAGAAAAGATGAAAAATATGCAACCGCCTTCGCCGGGAATCGAACCATGGACCTCTGGAATACCCGCCCAGCGTGCTACCGTTACACCACAAAGGCAACCTAGGGGGCCGCTTGTACAGTCATTAGGTATTTATTGAAAGCAGGCAAGATGAAAAATTAGCAAACGCCCTCGCCGGGAATCGAACCACGGACCACTGAAATACCAGCCCCGCGTGCTACCGTGACACCACGAAGACACTCTAGGGAAGTGGGAGAAATACCTTATATTATTTAAACACAAATTTTAACCATACATGCACGTCTCGTGCTAACAGGATCGACACCAAGTTTGGCGATGTAACTAAAACAACAATCAAATTTAAATTAAATTATAATTTGTATGAAAGATTACATTAATAAATTTAAATCAATATTGACTCAAAACTCTATCTGGAGTCAAAATTTAAATGCCAACCACAAAAAGGGCCAAGCCGAGTAATTGCAAATTTCAACGAGATGGTGGAACTAAAGTAGCATGGTCTCGAGAGGCAGAAACACGTTGTCTTACAATTCAAAAAACCTCATCTTCAATATTTTTTAATTTACTTGCATTTCTGGTAAGCAAACGAAAAGGAAAAGTTCTAGCAAAGGCTGAAATTAATATAAATAACTCACTAATACAAACTAATTGTAACTTTACATGATAAAGCATAGACTCGAAGAAAGGATAGTTTGGTATTTTGATATCTATTATTATAATCCCGACATAATATACCTCACTTTCTATAATTGCATGATCGCTATTCTGCAATCGTTCTGTAAACCACAAATTCCCAAGTGGATCAAGGAAAACAAGGTTAGGTTAGGTTAGGTTATTTAATTACGGCAAAGCGTCGAGGGCTATCTACCTAAGGGTAGGGTTGCCTTCGTGGAGGACTTTCTAAGGGAAACTGTCTCGTATACACGTTTCACATGGGGAAAACCACGAAACCACTCATGCAGCCAGCCCGTTCGCAGGATTCGTACCTTGGACCGAACTACCAGTGTTCAGTGTACTGCTCGGCCGCTGGTGGGCTCCAAGAAAACAAGGAACCATGACAATAGCAAAACATTCTTCTTCATATTACAAGAATCATTCAATAACCTTCTTGACAGAATGAAGTATTGTCGAAAGATGCAGCTTTTCAATAGATTTCAAGTAAACTAAGGTATACAGTTGTCATATAGGAGCCAAAATATTCATGCAAGCAGAGAGTACTTGATAAATATAAGCAGACAGTGCTTGGTATGACTGGTTGAACTTCCTGTACCGCCATTAGAGGCTTAAAAGGGCTTAGTGGAGCTATTTAATTAAAGAAACATTGAGATCTAAACCAAGGCCTAAATCAGTCCCGTTAAGCAGTAGAACTACCACCTTACTACATGAAATAACTTAAAATAGAATAAACAACTAAAATATGAACTTAAGTCTAGGAGCTGGTGAGATTTACCAGTTGCACCAACAAAAGCACATTATTACATGCTTTGTAAAATATAACACATGTTACATGCATGCATAAAAATGTGTTACTTACATATGCAAAGAAATAAAATAACAGAACATCATAAACATTCTAGTTCTCCTTTGTGCTTGGTATATAAAAACGATAATTCTAAGTGCTTCCTTCACAGAATATTCTTCAGAATGTCACACCCTTTGCTCTTGAATTAGTGTACACTCTAGCCAGATATGATTATTTGAAAACAACAAAGCACCATTCTCCCTTGAATGCATCTTCCTGGAGGATTCTTTAAGAGAAGCTGGGTCATATTCCCATTAAACTCTGAGAAATTCCATGTGTAACCAAAGAAAGGCAACCATGTAACAAGTCTTTCCGCCTGAGGTATGGCCAGATATGAAATATTCCTTGCGCAAGTTTAACGTGCGAGCTCTCTTACTGATGCAATGGGATGAAATCGTGATTTCTTCGATTATACATCTTCCTATTAATCATCATTATCCACATCATTCTCTGTAAGCGCTCATGACTGTTAAAATATAAACACAAACCCCGTAAGCATGCAAGCAGATGACATATAAATTTCTCAGTTCAAATCCCATGACGGTATCGGTATTTTTTAACTATTGGTGTAAATTTTGTTTAACGAAAATACTTTTAAGAAAGCAGAAAGACAACTGAAATTCCATAGAAAAGTAGATTTTAGTTTATTTTCTTTCAATTTATTGTACTTTTTCCCAAAATTTCACACTACTGATAGTACATTATTTGCCAAAAATGCATTCGAGATCTAAATGTTGGAGACAGTCCCATAGCGAATTAATCATGGCTTATAATAATTTACATGGGGGATGCAAGTTGTCATATTTTCATTATCAATATTCATTTATGTTTTATTACTTATATATTACTCGTCTTTCGCTAATGTTGCTGAAAACGACTTAAATTTCAGTATGGCAGCAAAAATAAATAAATATGCATATAAAATATAATTTTATATACGAATAGTTATACAAAAAAATATTTAGTAAATAATGTTCAACACGCAATAGATTGGTCATAAAAAGACAAAGAATCGTTTTTAAACCATTTACTGAGAAAAAAGAATACTGATATGATGAACTGAGAAAACATTGGACAAAAATAGAGAAATATATGCCAACACTTAACCCAGCATCGAAAATTCTAAACGTACACTGCTGTGCTGCTATTAATAACTTTGTGATTTTGCTGTTGAACTGTATGGAGTGTAAGTGCGAAGAAAGCGTTGCTTAATAATAGAGCTAAAAAGACCAAAAAAAAAAATCTGTTAGCAGTAGTGAGTCCAAGAGCAGACTAGGAGATTGTGAATTCAGTTGGGACATAAGAAAACTCAGCAAACCTTCCAATGCGACGTTAAACACAGATTCGTTTCAGATTTCCTTTTTCTTTCCCCTCCTTTATTTAACTACATTTTATTTTCTCAAGCTTTTAATCTCAATTACATGACATCAGTGATGTAAATTTCAGTCATTATTAAAACACAAGCAATAAATCATAAAAATATCATTATTTGGAACTTCAATAACATCCATGTAGAAGTCATTAAACATTTAGGGGGAAGAAATATGAAAACTCAGTGTTCGAATCATGCATCTTCTTATTATTGATTGAATGCCTTAACTACACTGTGTGCTAAGATATTACATTATGGAGAAAGAGCTACCGGATTTACGATTCGAGAAACCCGTTACACGGTTATAATGCCCCAAACCCCAGAAGCAATCCAAGAAGGCATAATGTTCCCGGTCAACCCAGGAGGACAATTTTGATGCACACAGTCTGGGAATTAGATCTCAAGTCAGTGGACGGCATGCATCCACCAACAAAGAGAACTTAGTTACATTGTAGACTCCCCCAGTGTTACCAAAGAGAGCCAAACCTCCAAGGACAACCTTTGATATCAAACCATGTAACGGCCCTACAACTAACATCGCAGTACCAGTGCGGTCCCAGGCGAGCCTGAATCTACCACCATATAAACGACGGTTCTAGTCATTGTGAAGTTTGATTATTTACTACAGAATTGGAGTCTGTGTAAGTACAGATCCTAGCCAGAACGCCGGAAGTTGGCCCCCAGGGGGAATCCAAACGACAGTATTAGAGATATATAAGGCATATGAAAATACTAAGAATCACGCTAACTAGATGACTAAATACAGGTAGTGACCAAATAGCGTCTGCCATATTTAATTTATGCAACCATTTGCACTATAAAGATTATGAACATTTAGAACAGAGAATATGAAAAATTAACCGAAGTGGATTCAAACTATGGATCTCTGACGTATTAGCTGGACATGATAACCACTTACGTTACAAAGACACACATGGCAGAATGTGAAAATTCATTACATGCACTTAGAGATTAGAGTACTGAGAGAAATTGAACCTCGATTTTCCATCTTATTTCTCAGAATTTCGAGCTACGCTTCAGCGTTAATATAATATAATAATGTTAACGAGTACATAATGTGAAAGAAATTAAATACATTTTAACGTACGTAAATTGAATACTGTGCACTTCCTTTCCTGGAATACATTTCATACTAAAAAAATAAATGATTTATATATAAAGATAACATGTACGTATAAACAAAAATTGCTCGAATTTAGTGGGACACGTTCACTAATTCTTAAGGGTTAGAGTCATGTAATACTACGAATGAATTACTTTAATTTTAAGCAGTGAATACTGTTATAGAATTTTAAGGGGACATTCAGTTAATTATAATGCAAAATGTATAATGAGTTGCTATGGTATATGTTTTGTTGGT